CACCTTCTTTGGCGGTAGGTTCCTCTTGGGGGGGAGGTTCACTGTCATTCCCGCGTTTGGGATCAGATCAATGATCGCTAATCCCTGCTTCAGGCATAGCTGCCTGTAGATCTCACATATGTCACCTGTGCTCGAATCGTTGAGCATCAGGAGTTGGGCCACCTCAGCTAGGATTCCAACTCTGCCCATGTTCTCCTTCTTTGGCCGCATCTTGAACGAGATCGGTGGGTTGGCTGCTGGGTTCACTGCTAGAATCCTCCTGCCTGCCACCTTGAAGGTACCTTCTCCTTTCCAGAGTTTCTCAGCCGCCTCATTGCGGACAAATGTGATCACTGCTGGGATCTCCGCTGCCTGCACAAGGTCAGGCTTCAAGGGAGCCTTGAAGATCAGGCTCCTGCTGTCTTGCGTCTGATCGACGATCAAGCCTTGCTCTTCAAGCTTGAGGCATAAGTTTTCCACCTGTCTGGAAAAGTATGCAGGGATCCCAAGTACCTTCATGGTAATCGTCTGCACACTTGTGCCCTGGTCATCATATGATCTGGCCTCCATCTGCCTTTGTCTGTCAGCTTGGAACTCTGACAGGTACCACTGCCTGACATCGTCACCCCACTGCCTGAGCCCTTTCGGATTCTCCAGTGACGAGGGTTCAGCAAAGCTGCATGTCTGACTGATGGCTTCGGCTAAGGCTTCCAAGGATATTTCTTTGGCTTTCAGAGCTTTGCTCGTCCTGCTTTTGGGGTTCTGCCTTGCGAATTCATCCAGTCTCCGCATCAGTTCGGCTGATGACGGCATCGTGGCAGCTTCCGTCTGCCTCTTGAGGTAGCTGGAGGTACGGTACTGCACGATCTCGTCAGGGTTCACAATAGATATTGGCCACATGTTTCGAAGCATTCTCGATGGTTTCCCGAGCTTCCTGCGTTCCTGGCGACTCTTGCTCTACCACGCAGGGACCCCGCTGATCTGCATGCCTCAGATCCGCTGATCTGCATGCCTCAGATCTAAACCCTAAACCCTTCTTTCGAGGAGATCTTGACGATGTGCTCAGCCGCTGACTCCTTCCAGCTCGCCACGATCCGTCTCAGTCCTCGAATTGTCATGCCCATAGAGAGATCCTCCCCGTCGCAGATCTGTTCAGCTTCCTCTCTGGTGAACCTTCCCTTCTGTGCTTTACTCTTGACCAGTACCTCATAGGTCACTCTTCGTGGTACTGCTCCTGGCGCGTCGGGCAAGAAGTCCAACCTAATTGGATGCTGTCTCGTTACCCTGGTGATTGCACTAACCTGAGTAGTGAACCATTTGAGGATTTTTTCATCTTCCGACATCAGTCCGAGGTGTATGCTTCCTCCATTCCTGTCGTCTCCCTCAAACATCCGTAGCGTGGTGCTCAGGACGTCCGTCGAAGAGCATCTCGCAATCCAATCGATCTCTCTTCCAAGTGCGTTTGTTGGGCTGACCTTGAGGTCTCCTCTTCGTCTTGACCTCTAGCTGCATGCCCGCTTCCGGCTGCACCTCCAACACAGCTATTCCTTGTTGCAGCAGGTGTTGACGATAGATCTCCGTAATCCCAGCTGAGTTCATGCCATGATTCATCTTGAGGAGGTGAGAGAACTCAGCTAGGGCCCCCGCCTTGCCAGAGTGCTTATCCTTCTGTGGCCTTATCTTGAAGGAACAAGGATGCTTCGAATGCGCGTTCACCGCGCGGATCATCTTTCCGTCGATCCTGAAGTTCGTCTGTCCTTTCCACAGCAGTTCTGCTGCGTCGTTCAATTGGAGTGTTGCCACGACTGGGATTTCATCCACTGTCGGAATCAAATCTTTCTTGATCGGGGCTCTCCACGAGATGCATTTCTTGCCCTGCTCCTCGTGCACCAAGAGTCCTTGATCCTTCAACTTCTCACACAGTACCTCAACTTGTTTTATGTACTGGGTAGGAACTCCGAGGATAGCCATGGTAATCAGTTTACCACTCTCGGGGGACGCTCCTGAAGCATCGATGCAGGCACTCTTGTCTAGTACCTCCTGTTTGTCTGCGTTCCATGCAGAGACATACCACGACTGTCCTTCTTCCCCCCATTCTTTGATGGCATCCTCCTGGCTCCTGACTTCAGCATGTTTGCAGGTCTGTCGAATGGCTTCGGCTAAGGCGTTCATCGAGACTTCCTTGGACTGCAAGGCTCTGCCTGTCCTGCTCTGAGGGTACTGCCTGACGAAGTGTTCCAATCTTCGGATCAGCTCTCCTAGCGAAGGTGCTGAAGGTGTCGTGTCCTTGTTTAGGAACTGGGAAACTCGGACACGAGCAATCTGTTTCCTTTCCTCTTTGGATAGATACCACATGATCAAACAACCGTTTCTGCACAGAAAAATATCCTGTTCAGCACCCTAGCTCGCAGGGATCCCCTCAAACTGCAGGGGAGGAGAGCATGTCTGTTACTCCAGCGGCCTGTCTGTTACTCCAGCGGCCTCCTAAACCCTAAACCCTAAACCCTAAACCAGCTTGTAAAGGACAAGACGCAGCTTGTAAAGGACAAGACGCAGCTTGTAGAGTACCAGCAGCTGCTTGTAGACAGGGAGAAGCGGCTTGTAGAGGACAAGAAGCGGCTTGAGGGGCTTATTCCACGTCCTGTGCAACTTCGAGACAGCTTGTCAAGACCTGAAGGTGAAACAGAATTGAATGTGGCTATCATGGGTACTAAGAGGACTGATGCTAGTTGGCATGCTAAGTTTCTTGAAAGAGCTCTGGACTACCGCACGCGCAGGAAAGGGCTTGGTGGCTAATGAATACGTCAGCTTCTCCACATGCTTGGGAGGCTATGAGACACTTGGAAACAAGCTCTTCATACGAGCGTGCTACTTGAAGATGAGGGAGTTGATTGCCAATGATTTCAAGTTGGACCCAGAGACGCTAAAGGGCAAGGACTCCACTCAAGGATGCCATCAAGTAATCCTCACAGGTACTCCAGGGATCGGGAAGTCCTGCTTCGCATACTTCTTACTTCTTCAGCTCCTCCGGCCTGGTGAGGAAGTAGTGTATCAGATAGGGAGTGAATATTGGTACTTTGATGGAGAAGCATGGAGCCTGCTCATGGATGGATCCGTAGCGCAACGCTTTCTTCAAACGTTTAGGCACTGGTATATCTGTGATCTGTTGAAAAAGCAGGGGAACTATTCGATATCACGAACCGCGAAGACAATCATAATCTCTTCACCGAAGTATGGGATGTTCAAGGCCATTGTGAATGCTGGATCGGCGAAGAGATATTTCTTGCCGTTGTGGTCAGACGAGGAGATGTCACTCTTCATCAAGATGCAATCGGAGCGTGGTATGGACCCTGACGAAGTACAGAAGATCGTAGAGGATTGGGGCAATGTGCCGAGAAACATCGTCGTGAAACCTTTAGAGACACTTGGGCAGGCTGTTGGAGGAATAGATTCAGTGATATCACTCAAGAACAAGATGGATGCAGCAGTGAATGACGACCTTGGAATGCCATCGAAACTGATTCACCTTTCCCCCAGCACTGACTTCAGATCCTTTACCGCTCGAATATGCTCGACGAAGGAACCTGCCAGGAAATAAGGAACCTCCTAAACCCTAAACCCTAAACCCTAAACCCTAACATCATCTTAGTACTTTGACCTTCAGTTAGTCAGCTGCAGGTGTAGCTTTTGAACACGTTGCGCATGAGGTGCTGAAGGGAGGAGGAATGTACCATCTGCAAAGGCTGGATAAAGCACCAAGATGTCCATGGGTCAGAAAAGCTGAAGTTGAAGGAATCGCAACCGTACATTGAATTTGCGTCATCAATCGGAGACTTGGAGGAGTGGGTGATCATGCCGGATGCATACTGTAAGCCAAAGGCATCGAACTTTCCTTGCATGGATGCGATGTTATTGTCTGCTAGCGGGGTTCTCTACATGTTCCAGATGACACGGGCGGGGAAACATCCTATCAAAGTGGACTCATTACTCAACATCTTGAACGCTCTGCGAGCCAAGAACAAGTTTGAGAGGCAATTATTTGTGTTCGTTGTACCTTCAGGGCATGAGGAAATGCCCTGCTGGGGACGAGATCAAGGCTTCACATCTCAGGGAGTGAAGGCAAGCCAGGAGCAGGAGAGTCAAATCAGGGGAGTCACTCAGTATATCATGATGCTTTCGAAGGAGGATGCGATGCGGAGGCCAAAGGGATGGATGACTGTCACTCCGCCACGTACGTAGTCAATCGCAAGAGCAGCGCCAAGGGAGTAGTTGGAACCTGGGAGGACGCGACAGAAGAAGAGAAGTTTTTGCACGTAGAGAGTCGCCTTGCAAGGTTGTGCATCCAAGACTTTAGAATCGTCAGGATTCCTGTGGGCGATCATTTCGAAATATACAAAGTTGCCAGAGCCCAGCAATCTTTGCGTTTGAGATGAGGACCTTCGTCGCGATGCTGTAGAAGCTTGCTAGAATAGATAAACGACACACGTGGCCATCATGACTCTATCTCCTACGAGCCTACTGAGCCTGACAGCGCCTTCCGCAGTGCGATGACTCGACGCTATCCAATAGACTCTTCCACTGACGAACCGTGCTAGCAACTCGCAGATGGAAGTTTGTTTTGCGATGATGGTGTGAGTTGCTGCCGTGACCTCCTGCTTTCATCTCACGTCACTGATTACTCTATGAATCAACTTCGCACATGGTGGTTCCCCTACACAGCGAGATGCTCCGGTCTATTCGGGACTTCTCTGAAGCCTAGCAGGATGTTCAATTCAACATTTACATGCGGCGAGATAATATCCGAGCTCTTCAACATCTGGTGCATATCTCCACACCTTTCCAAACCTCCTACCTCAGTTGCCACTGCTTTCAAAGCCCCGCCGTTTCTCTTCGACTCTCTTTCTCTCATTCTTCCGCATCGATATCAATCCTTTGTCGCCTCATACTTGTCAATCTCCACAGCCTTGTAGTGCTCCATGTGCTAATACAGGTTCACTTCGGTACAGGCTGCCTCAAGAGCAAAGTAAGGCAATGACACTTAGATAGGAGCCGCCTGCGGCGGATAGGGCGCCCACCTCGTAAGCCTTGGAGGATTTGGGCAAGTCAAGCATGGCAGGGAGACGATATGCGTCATTTCTTTGGGTGCTGATATTGACCCGCTTGGACGCCAGATCATGGAAAGCTTCCCTGTACTGATCACCCTCCAACGATCTCCTGCCTGGATCTTTGAGTATGTCCAAGATTGATTGGGCATGACGCCACATTTACGGCGGCGCTTCAAAGGTCTGCTCTCCTTCTCCGGTGCTGGTTTGTCGCATCTGCCGCAATGGTTTACCTCGCCTGCCTGGGCCACCACAGACGCACAGACGTGATGGAAGAGCTGCTTGCGCTTGCACCATGGGACATGATACACGCCGATGCAAACAAGCAAGACCGGATCATTCGTCAAGTGTGGCTGCTTCGAGAAGATGACCGTAACTGGGAAACGTCATCTGTTCTGAAAACGTTTCGGTAAGAGCGATGCCTAGGATGTGTGTATGCCGGGACGTTGCCTGCTGCCAGTGATGACTGATGCAGGATGACATGCTTCTTGTGATGAGGGATGCTCTCTATAGACCCCACAAGCCCGCCTCATCGTCGAATACTCGGAAACGGAGAAGGCAGCGGAATCCGCTACTCAACCACGCAAGCGACGGCATGACGTAAAACTCTTGTTATCAAGCAATGGGTACCACGTGGTAGTATTCTTTTGTACCAGTGGAGTAGATCAAAACTTTTTATTGACTGAAAAAGAAGGGTAAACCGGAGCAAACAAAGGAGGACGAGGATAAAGCCTACAAACCCGCCTCAATAGGGGGCTTATGGGCTGACCTAACCTTGACCTTGACCTTAGCCTCTCGGTACAAATGCTTTAGTTAATAAATGGGCTAAGCACATCCTAAGGTCAGCCATGTGCTTAGCAATTAGTGGCTAAGAATATGAACGACCTCAACGATTGGCTTAGCATAGGGTCCCAACCGTTGCGATCTCCCGGTACCCATTTGAAGCCCTTCCTTCCCCGTTCCCTTCCATCATGCTCACGCCTGCCGTGACTCTGCTCGCCCCTGCCTTCCATCCTCCCTCTCTTCCCGCGCAGTCAACAACCTTGAAAGCTTGTAGTGTGGTAGATCATGTTCCTCGTCTCACAGTATGCATATCAAGTTTTGATCTGTTTATGTACAATGCAAATTTGAATAAACAGGCTGAGCAAATTCACGGTTGTGCAACGCGTCTTACGCAAAACTCAAGGATATCGGAGAGCTTCCATGTACTTTACATCAATTGCTATGTTGTCATTTGATCTCTGACAAGTGCATCTATCTTCACTTGATGAAGATTTCAAGCACACAACACGTTATCAGCCAGTGAACTTTTGTATTTGAATGAGGTGAAAAGTGATTGAAGATGTGCCTTCAAAGATGGGATGTCCTGCAGATGAAGCTAAATTGGAGACAAACTTGGCATGAATCAAGCAATGCTTGGCTGGTGCAAGCCTCTAGGCTATCTGTTTGAAAGTCGAATGCCTGTGCTTGTCATGCTTGAACCATCTGTACAGTGCTATCTGTATCCAAGGCATCATGGAACCTGGAAGGAAAGATCCCTTACTGCATGCTCTCCATCCTTAGTCAGTATTCATGCCGCTAACAAATGAGGAAACACAACCATCATGGACATCTTGGTGCTTTGCCGACATCGCATGCAGCGCAATTGCCATTCACGATATGTCGAACAGTTCCAAGAAAGAGATAAAAACAAAACTTAAAACTCTAAAACTGAAGGTCAAAGTACTAAATATCAGTCAATTTTTAGGTTCTTTCTACCCTGCTTTCAAGCTATCTTGCATCCGTTCATGACAGCATTTCTCCTAAAACGGACGTCGGATTCAAATCAGCACGAAGGTCAAGGTCAAGGTTAGGTCAACCCATAAGCCCCCTAATAAAATACTAGGAAAACTTTAGTTGCACTCTCTAAAATAAGAGATGTATTGCCCCTACAATCCATGAAGTACCCGCTTGGACCGGGTCCTCCTACCCCAAAAGTACCCCACTAGCTACATTATGAAAAAGAGGATACGTGTCCTTGAAAGGCCAGAGTGACAGGAGGCTGCCGCCCTTGCCGTGCATCGTAGCTGACGATCGCAAGTATGTTGTTTGCCCATGATGATATCCTCGAACGCATGTTTGGGTCTGATACTGTGATGTAGGGGCATCTCACATTGCGTTAGTTGTGTCCACGGGAGGGAAGTATGAAGACGCCCAGGGCGAACGAACTCTCTCAAGACCGCGACAACCAAGGTGAGACCTATCGATTTTGTACCAGTGTCGATCCCCCCCGTGCTGCGATGGCTGAGTGCGAGGCTCAATTTCTATATGGGAAGCTGACCTTGCGCGCTGCCTCCCAGGGCCTGAAAAGAAGAGACAAGATGTGAAGCAAGCTTCAACCCCTCGTTCCAAGACGGGTTCTGAGGAGATCCTCAATTCCGGCATCTCTGCTGAAGCTCAGGACTCTAGGACTCAGAGGTCTCCATGGATGAATGAAATGGAGGGTGTACACACAGGGATGGAGGGAGTGCAATCAGAAATGGAGGGAGAACAACAAGAGAGGCGGAATGAAGAGATCCGAGATGTACAAGGAGAGATCAAAGATGTACAAGGAGGGATCGGAGATGTACAAGGAAAGATCGGAGATGTACAAGGAAAGATCGGAGATGTACAAGGAAAGATCGAAGGTGTACAAGGAGAGATCAAAGATGTACAAGGAAAGATCGAAGGTGTACAAGGAGAGATCAAAGATGTACAAGGAAAGATCGAAGGTGTACAAGGAAAGATCGAGGGTGTACAAGGAGAGATCAAAGATGTACAAAAAGAGATTACAGATCTGTTGAAAAGGATGCAAGGTCAAAATGACCCAACGCAGGAGGAGATCCTCAAGCAGCTTATAAAAAGGGAGACGCAGCTTGTAGAGGACAAGACGCAGCTTGTAAAGGACAAGACGCAGCTTGTAGAGTACCAGCAGCTGCTTGTAGAGGACAAGACGCGGCTTGTAGAGGACAAGAAGCGGCTTGAGGGGCTTATTCCACGTCCTGTGCAACTTCGAGACAGCTTGTCAAGACCTGAAGGTGAAACAGAATTGAATGTGGCTATCATGGGTACTAAGAGGACTGATGCTAGTTGGCATGCTAAGTTTCTTGAAAGAGCTCTGGACTACCGCACGCGCAGGAAAGGGCTTGGTGGCTAATGAATACGTCAGCTTCTCCACATGCTTGGGAGGCTATGAGACACTTGGAAACAAGCTCTTCATACGAGCGTGCTACTTGAAGATGAGGGAGTTGATTGCCAATGATTTCAAGTTGGACCCAGAGACGCTAAAGGGCAAGGACACCACTCAAGGATGCCATCAAGTAATCCTCACAGGTACTCCAGGGATCGGGAAGTCCTGCTTCGCATACTTCTTACTTCTTCAGCTCCTCCGGCCTGGTGAGGAAGTAGTGTATCAGATAGGGAGTGAATATTGGTACTTTGATGGAGAAGCATGGAGCCTGCTCATGGATGGATCCGT